GCGCGAGATGACGTCAGAGTGCCGATCTCTGATTGGATGAATAGTGGATAGACGCCGAGGCTATAGGGTGACCACATGTCTGTCTGTCTCAAGGTGTGGACATCCCTTGTTGCACCTTGTGGGCCAGCGCGTGGCGCGCTGGAACACGCAAGGCCGATTCTCACATGCAGCGAGGGGGGATCGGTGGCCGAGTGGTCTAGCGCACACCAGCTCGGAGCACGTGGAGCGAAAGCTCGCGCTGCAGAACCCAGGGATCCTGGGTTCGAGCCCCGCCCCTGCCCGTTTCCATCTGGATGAGCATCGTACCGGCGTGCGGTCGTTCATCACTACTGCGTGATGCACGTTAAAGACCCCAGGCTAGCGGCTGTACCGCACTGGCTAAATTTCTCATCTACAGCTGGGAGACTCATCGCCCCTGTGAGGCAGACCAAGTTCTAGGCTGTATAAACACACACACAACCCAATTTTTTTTTTCACATGCAGCGAAGCACTGATGTAGCGCTGCTCCCGTGTCGTCAGCTACTTACCGTCTGCCGTGAGCAGCAGTTCTGACGGTGCGATACAAAACTGGTGAACGTTTCCGTCAGCACGCGCTTAGCGCGAGGTCAGCGCTATGCTTGTAGCGCTCCGCTGCATGTGTGAACAGGCCTTCAGTGCTTGATGTATGCGGTAAAATGTAGTCTGAGCAGTAGCCGTGGCTACGCGCTAGAGCTGTGTTGTACCTGACTATACTCTGTTTCGCCTTATGATGTACCGCAGGAAAGGCTACAAGCGCTAGCTCCTTGCTCTAGGGCACATCTGGGCGGTACAAGCTCTCGTGCATTAAGGGAAGCTGCCAACGCTATGAGCTCGCGCTTCTAGCCTTCGCTGCGGTACAACATAAGGTGAAATGGAGTATACGCGCGCTTCAAAAGACACAAACAAACGATTGGGCAGAGAAATGGCTGAAACGTCTCCGCTCGAGGAAGAGCGCCTGTGTATGAAAGCTGCCTAGCCAAGGCTAGGTGCCTTTTTCTCTGCCCGCTGTCTCCCTCCGATAAGAGCGATCGAGAGAGTCGTCTGCTCCTCGGGCAGCTTGTCACGTTCCAACGCCGGATTCTGGCGTGAGAACGCGTTCGGACATCATAGACGCGTTCAGACTGCATCTACGCACAAAACCTTCGAATAAGGACTCGGCACATTTGGTGTTCCCGCGCGTTACCATCTCCTTTCCCTCCGTTTGAGTTCGTATTACGCGTACCAATAACCGAAACATTTATGAGCCGATCAGTTTCCCTGCATGGAAGCAGGCATTTCCAACAGCTACGTTTCATCGTGTTTTCTCACTACCGCCCTACAAAAATTCGTCATTCCCAGCTCCATTTTCATGCATGTGTTCATCGAAAGTCTCTAACCATTGAACGTCGTTCTGCTTGGATTTTCCGATCCAAAAATGCACCTCCCACTTCGAGAACCTTTGCAACCCCCCTTCCCCTCGCTTCCGCCCCCCCCCCCCCCTTTCCTTCATTTCGACGCAGCTGGTCGTGGTACACGAGAAGACTCATATTGGCTACATGTACATAAATGCGACCATAGAGGGTCAAATCTGCATTTTGTGATTATGACTGAATACGAATGAAAAAAAGAGGAGGATTTCGTGCGCGCGATTGGTCCTTCTCTATTCAATGCGCTTCGGTCGCATGCATGCCTACCCATAGTTTGGGTTCCGTGTTTTCGGATACATCCGAAAAACTCCGAAAAACACCCGCCGGTAAAATTTTGGTCAATTCAAATTTATCCAAAAAAATTCCGAATTTTGATGTGCCAACGCCCTTCCCCCAAATAACAAGATAAATAAAAAAGAGGACTGTTTTTTTACAATTAAGTTCGACCAGCGCACAGGTTAATGATCTTAGGAAAACGCCATCGCAGCTGTCTTTCAAATCTCGGACCATTGTCAAAAGAGGCCCTACCCCTTATCTCGTCAAGGTTCATTAACGACAACACGCCATTGTAGTTTTGGGGTTACTACAAAAGCCACTGTTTTGGTTTTCAGCTTAGGTTATACTATCTGTTCTTTAGAGGAAGAAGAGGTTCTGTTTTTGTGATTTTTAAAGACCATAGAGATTGCATAAAATGGCCAAGAGGGGCAGTTGAAACTTATCTACTACATCCTTCACTACTCCACAACGGGCTGCCACGGGGTAGGTTGATGGAGTCGGATGGGATGAATACGAGCTTCCCAGCGATTCTAGGAGTTTATTGTTTTTGAGGTTTCAACGTCTATTGAAGAAACACTCGTGTGCACCATTTGCCGTTGGACAAATAATACCTCGTTTCACCTTATGTACGACCGAAGGCAAACCTAGAAGCGCGAGTTCGAAACCTCCGTATGTTCATGCTTCGCTCGTGCGCGAGAGCGGTGCAGAAACGCAAAATAGGGCTGGTCTTGCTCTTTTAGCTTTGGCTTTGCTCGCAGATGAGGTACAACGAAGTATAGTATTGTCAATGGAAATGGCACGAATGACGAATGCCGCTGAAGATATATTAATTGATACAAGTGCGTTTTAAATTTTTATCTAGCATTCTAATTTAAACCCGGATAATATTTATTCAATTGCCTATGTTTAAAAGGAAACACTGCGAAACTATACTCTGTATTTCGGAGGATGGTGAATCGAACAAGAATAAACTCCGATAAACTTTTCGTTTTCGGCAAAAAATAAACTCGGAAACAAAACACTCCGAATTTGACTAAAAATACACTCCAAAAACACGGAATCCTGCCCATAGTCGACGTGTAGATAATGCGCCGGGGTGCATCGAATCTAGATTTGATGTCAATGACTTTGTATATGTGGAGGAGAGGGGGATATTCCTTTACAAAAAACTGTGGTGATTTTCTGTTGAAAGGCTCTTGAAACAAGTCATCAGAGGATTTAGAATGTCAACAGCATTTTATCTTACTTTCTCTAGATTTTCTGTTGACTTTGGTTTGAGTATTGGCCCATTTTTTAACAATGAAGTCAACAAATTTTCTGTCTCCTCCAAGATGCTTCTTCTTTAGCTTTTCAAAGGAAAAGCTACAGCTTATCAATTAAAAAACTACTTCCGTTTAAAAATAAAAAAAAGTTTTACACTTTAGTTACTGATTCAACAAAGTTTTCGAGCCTTACTAAGGTTTTCCACTCTGCTCTAAATTGGCTGCCGCAGAAGAACGTAAAAAAAGACACGATTTTGTTTGGAAATGGTGTCCATGTGGTATTCCAACACAAACACAACGAATCACTCAACACCTGAATCACAGCCCCGTCGACTGCTCCAGAGCCTGATATAGCCTACATTTTAAATGTAATCATTTGGCCGGGGACCACCTCAGGGCTTATTAAGGTCCCAAAAATCCGACCGCCCCCTTGGTAGTCTGTCAGCGCGAAAACAGTGTTTTGAACTTCGTGAGCTCTACCTCTTACTCCTGGTATGACTGATAATAATTCGGCGCAGTCTCTAAAACAAAATAAAAAAAAGGCTCATATAAAAAAAAAAAAGCCTTGCCTCATCCTACGATGGGCTAAAGGCCAAAGCCACGGGCTGCCAGGTCTAATCATGTTCAACGCTAAACTATGACATGCTTAGCATTGATTCGGGGTTAACAAATAATGCTCCGAACCCGAAAGAGCAGCATCTTCTTCTAGCTTCGACACTGCAATGTAAATTTGTTGAGTCACTCACTGCTATTCGATTCAAACCACTGTCCGCCCATCCCCATCAGTGATACGAGACGCGGGCACCGATACGTGCATCGAAGCGAAATGGCACACCATTTCTAAGTAGCTCGTGATTGGATCTGGCGGTCCGTAGCTTTTGTCTTTAGTCCATCGTAGGGTGAGACGAAGTATAGAAGAAATATCACTTCTCTTCGTAGCACCACTCAAGACTAAGCGAGGCAAGGCTGTTGCTCCACTTTAAAATAGTTTTTTTGCTTTTCTTGAATTGGCAGTCAAGTGTACACCCCACTAAGTTGGCTTGTTCCTTCGTTATAGCGTCAACTCCTCTTTATCTGCCTCGCGCCGTCGCCCTTTCCACCACCCGCCAAGCTCGGCTCGTGCCTGGCTCCGGTGGGTCGACTTCAGAATCACCCAAGAAGTGCCATCGGGTGTACAAGACGTCTCAGTGTTCAAAAGATCTGTAGGACATTAAGGTCCCCTGATACTCCTTTTACAAGTAACGACAACCAATAAAAATGACAAAGCACCCTCCGCTGGAAACAAATGGCGGCATGCAGTTCAAACCTCTGTGTGCGCCACCATTCGCTTCCTAAAACCTGCACCGTCACGCAGTCGGCGCTTCAAAGAATGTCGCACCTTGTAGGAAGCTCTTATCTAAGGACTTTATAGAACATCACAGACGCGGGATTTACGGCCAAGTGTAGGAAGCTCTTATCTAGGGACTTTGTAGAACATCACAGACGCGGAATTTGCGGCCAAGTGTAGGAAGCTCTTATCTAGGGACTTTGTAGAACATCACAGACGCGGAATTTGCGGCCAAGTGTAGGAAGCTCTTATCTAAGGACTTTATAGAACATCACAGACGCGGGATTTACGGCCAAGTGTAGGAAGCTCTTATCTAGGGACTTTGTAGAACATCACAGACGCGGAATTTGCGGCCAAGTGTAGGAAGCTCTTATCTAGGGACTTTATAGAATATCACAGACGCGGGATTTACGGCGAAGCGTAGGAAGCTCTTATCTAGGGACTTTATAGAACATCACAGACGCGGAATTTGCGGCCAAGTGTAGGAAGCTCTTATCTAGAGACTTTATAGAACATCACAGACGCGGGATCTGCGGCCAAGTGTAGGAAGCTCTTATCTTCCCACTAAATTGGCTTGTTCCCCTTCGTTATAGCGTCAACTCATCTTCATCTGCCTCGTGCCGTCGCCCTTTCCCCCACCCGTCAAGCTCGGCTCGTGCCTGGCTTCGGTTGGTCGACTTCATAATCACCGAAGAAGTGCTCAAAGGGACTGCCGTCCATCCCAGACGCGGCATTTACTGCAAGGTGAACACCCCACTAGGTTCGCTTGTTCCTTCGTTATAGGTGAGTGAACAGAACTTGTATCTCCTTTTTGCTTCGGAATATTCTCCGAGTTTTTGTGGCCGCGATTCCCAGCAAAAACTGTGTGAATCTGCAGACTCTTTGTACCGTCATGGGGGTTGATTTGGGCACATACAGAGTTTGTGTTGGATGTTTTGTTCCGCGAGAATGAAACCGTTCCTTTGCTTCGCATCGTCGTGTTTTGAACACCAAATCACTGAGTCCCAGCGCGAAAATCCTCCTTTTGTCATTATGCATTGCGCAACGTTTTCTTTGCGCGTGAGATGTTGAGGCTAATCGGGACCTGATAAGATGGATCAGGTCCTGGCGTCCCTTCAGGGTGTCATTGCTTCGAACGAAAAGAACCAAAGAAAAAGTACAGCTACACTAGCGGTCATTAACGCAGGAATTGCAGACATATCACGGCGTGTGTCGCATCTTGAAGAATCTCTTCGCGAGGTTACTCACTTGAAAGAAGTGAAATCTCTGAATCTGGCGGTTTCTAATCTTAAAACAGAGATGAAGGCATAACCACCAGGCAGTACAAAATGGAAGATGTAATTAGTGTCGTTGACGACTTAAACAATTGTCTTCGTAGAAATTACCTAATAGTCAAAGGCCTACCTGAACAAGAACGGGAAACTTGGAACGACACAGAGAAAAACGTTCACGCGTTCGTTTTAACCCATCTAAACATTACCTCCGGTGAAATTGAGCGCGCGCACCGGATTGGGCGGCCTAGGGCTGGGACAAATAGGCCCAGAGTTATAAAGTCTCTGAGTTACAAAAGCAAGTGCGAGGTCTTAAGCAATGCTTCCAGGTTGAAACACCTGATATCCCCTAAACTCTGAATTGAAGAGGGTTTTTCGCCCAGTGTGCAGCCTGCCCGCAAAAAGCTTCGTGCCTATGCGAAAGAAACCCGAGGTACAAATAGATTCCGACTATCATACGATAAGCTTACATTGAACGACGTTGTTTGCTCTTACGACGCAAACAGTGATCAGGTTATCTCTGTTTCGCGAGGCAATACGATAGACCACCGCCCATGACCTCAATATAAATATAATACGCACTCTTGCCCCACTAAGCAGATTGGCCCGCTCTCTTTTCTGGTAGCCAACTTTCGCAGTCTATTGCAGAAGGAAGATGAGTTGATGGCTTGCATTGACTCTTGTTCTGCTGACGTCGTTTTGGAGACGAAAACCTGGCTTCCTTCGAATATTGCGAATTCAAAGCTGTCTATTGCTAACTCGTTTACTATTTATCGGAAAGATCGAACTGGTACCAAAGGAGGAGGAGTTGTGGCAGCTGTCAGAAACACCATTCCATCCTCTTTGCTTTCCTTTCATAGCTCGCTCGAAATTTTATAGATTACCGTTATACTCTCTTTCAGACATGTTTAATTACAGGCCCCCCAGCTCCTCAGTCGAATTTATTGAAATATAACTACAGTTATCGACGAAGCTCATTCGAAATTCCCTCCCAGCCCTCTCATATTAGCTGACGATTTTAACTACCCAGGTATTGATTGGGCTGCTCGCAGAGTGTCCGATGAATGCCGCCCAAAAAATGAGTGCAGGAAATTGTTGGAAATGGCCGACTACTTTAATATGCAGCACGCCTACACGTGAAGATGCAGTTTTGTATTTCATTTTCACCACCCATCCGGATCCTGCATCGGTACGCGTCATCGACAAATAAGTGATCATTGTGTTATCTACTGAGATTTCGCCTTGACTGTAAACAAACGGGACCAAGATAGCAAAGCAATTTTTGATTATAGGAGAGTTGATGATAAGACTTTGTATTCTGTATTAAGTGATTCTTCTAGTACATTCCTAAGTGGGTTCGCTGAACGGTCTCTAAATGACAATAGGATTCTCTTTCGGGATATGTTACTGGAGGCTCTGGTTATATGTGTACCAACTATAAAAATCACCGCTAGCCCGGACAAACCGTGGTTTACGACGAGAGTTAAGCTCTACCTACAAAAAAGAAACGCTTGTACAGTCGTGCCGTGCTTTCGCACAGTCAGCACAATAAGACCATTTATCATGCTCAATCAGTGTTTCGCAAAAACGAAATAAAAATTGCCAAGCAACTTTTTTTAGAGGACGATGTCTCAAAGATGCTTCGATCTGACCCATAAACATATTGGAAAGTGAGAAATCTAAAACCAACTCAAGTATTACATTGTATTATTTGCGACGACGGATAAATACAAACTTCCCATCAATTAGCTGTTGGTTTGAATGCCATTTTTAGCAGTTTTTTTGCTGAGGAGAACGTGTTTCCACATCCTACTGCTATTTCCTCACTTCTTGAAAATATAATGAACGATATTGTAATTTCTATTTAAGGAGTTGAGTGTGCCATTCATCGGTTGGAAACTAACTCTAGCCCAGGTCCCGACGGAATATCTACTGAGCTTTTAAAATTAACCAAACACGTATCTACGACATGTACTAACACACATGTCGTAGTTAGCAAATGAGTCTCCTCCGCTATGCCTTTGAAGTCCGGCGTCCCTCAGAGCTCTCTCCTCGGTCCGGTATTGTTTCTTTTATATATGAATGACCTTCACTCTAACATTCAATCTACCATACTTCTCTTCGCTAAAGATTGCGTCATTTATCAAGTCCTTCTAACCCCTTTGACTTTCGGTACTCCAGCGGGACCGAGACATAGTCCAGCAATGGTGCAGCACATGGTTAATGCAAATAAACACAAACAGAACTAAAGCTGTCACTTTTACAACGAAATTGGAAATCATTCATCACGTGTACATGATTGGAGGCCACTGCATTGAAAGCGTTACGTCTATTAAATACCTCAGCGTTCACCTAACAGCTAACTTATCATGGAACCTACATGTTAAACACATAACGCGCAAAGCACCTAGAACTTTTGGTTTTCTTAAACGCTCTTCATTTGAGGCTAACAAAGAAACAAAACTCCTCGCCTATACAACCCTCGTCAGGTACAGTTGAAATATGCATCCATCATATGGCATCCTCATCAGCTTTACTTAACCAACCACATTAAGGCACTTCAAAATAAAGCTGCAAGATTTATAACCCGCGATTTCTTCCGTACTTCCACTGTATCTTACATAAAACACAACCTTAACCTAACCCAACTGCAGTACAGAAGATGTATTGCTAGCATGTAATTTTCCACGGGCTCTATCATGGCTCATCTCTCCTTAGGACCTCATTCATTCAGAATGCTCATTGTATTTCGTCTCGTGTAGACCATCGCTCTAAAGTATCGCCCATTTTTGCCCGCACTAACTTGTTCAAGAATTCCCCTCTGGTTCTTGCCACGTCCGAAGGGAAAGCCTGCCAAAAGAAATCGCGTTAATCACTTCACCTCATATGTTCATTAGTTATTTAAGTAATATGTATAAAACTAAATAGTGTTGCTTTGTGTTATGTTTTCATCCAGTGTTCTTGTTATTTATGTTGTTTATTGCTCGTTTAAGACTGTTTATGCCGACTATGAAATCGTTTTTTTTTCACTTCACCCAATTGTATCAAACTTTGCACCATCGTCCCCCCCCTTCCCCCCCCCCCCCCCCCCCCCCCCCTATGTAATGCCCCTCGGGGACTTTGGGGTAAATAAATAAATAAATTGACTAGTTTTATAGGGTCAATATACTACAGTCACTTGCAAAGTGAGAACCGCAGGGCGTGTCTTTCCAACGCCTGCCTTCCACCGTGCTTTGACTGCGCGCGCACTCGAGGTGCACGAGACGCAGAAGCGTTGTCAAGAGTAGAAGGCTCGCGCTGGCGGCGGGACAACTGAAGCTCATACCGTTATCACCTTGGCAGAGACTATTGAATAGCTTAGTGCCTTTCGACATCTAGTCCAGATGTTGAATAGAAAGTAAACATAAAGTCTAGCTTTTTGATTGAGGCTGGCTGGATACAGCAAACTCAACAATTTCAACACAAATTAGACAGATCGTCTGCAGTTTCCTGGTGACACTGTCAACAGGAAGTTAGCAGAAAAATAATCAACGTAAAGTTCACAGAAAGTCAAGAGCTTTTTTTTTTTTTGGTTCAGGCTGAAGGAAATCATCAGAAACTTTTCAACACAAAATGATCACACTTTTTGTTGAACACGTCAACAGGAAGTCAAGGTCAAAAGAAAGTGATCAGAGTCAACACGATTTCAATAAAAAGTCAAAAATCAGTTTTATAGGGGTTGGACGCGTGTGATTGCGTCCCCCTCATTTCGATAGGTTTCGGTACCACATATGTAAATTTATCCGTGGGCTACGTGTAGATGGATGAGACCGTAACGCGTCCAATCAAGATTTGACGAGAATTGTCGAGTAGAAGTGAAAGAAAGAGGAGGATTGAATGCCTGTGATTGGGTCCCTTTTGATTTTATACACTTCTATTGCATCCATGTAAACGTTGCCAGTGTTACCATCAAATAGAAGCACGCGTTGTGCTTTCTTTTCAGCACCTTATCCCCTATGTAGTGAGCTGACCCGGTCTAAAGGTTATTCGCGCGGACCCCGCCTAGTAAGAAATGTAAAGTTGAAAAACTTTCAGGCTTGTTTCTTCTCGTTCTTTTTTCTTTTTTTTTTTTAAGAAGAGTATCTGTAGTACTAATTACTGCTGTGTTAAAAAAGAAAAAACGAAAATTGGCCGAACGAAGAGGACAAAAAGCGGTTTTTGACCTCGCTATTCAGCGGACACTTCCCGTAAATTACTCTGGCAAGTGTGATTCACGGGCAATTTCCCCCAGCGTAAACGTTTGTGACTGTACCTTTTTTATGTTTTCAGCAACGCGTTCGGAGTAAATAAGCAGATGTGATTGATGGCGTTATTTATGGAAGACTTTCCCGGACGGTTAGTGTTCAATTCTACCGCTCAATATGCGCGGAACGTACTTGATGTAGGTGCACAACGCACGTGCGTCAAGCTGCAACTCGCACATCTGGAATTGCGGAGACTCATACAGGTGTGCTTTGTTCCTCTTGTGTACGAAAAATGTAGTGTTGTTGTAATTAGTGGTGCGTTTCCCACTAGGTTGCGGGAAGCGTTGTAAGAAGGACCAAGCCTTCTCTGAGAGTTCATTCCTAAAGGTCAGTAAAACGTGTATTTTGTTAAAAAAAATCTAAACCACACTCTCCGAGAAATTTAGAGCGTCTACTTTCCCGCAAAGAACTTGACAGAGCCATGTTTAGATCTAAAAATACAAATAAAATTGCGTTGTGATACTGAGCATCATCTTCCACCATGCGCAGTGCCACGGCGCAAACTGTTTTTTTAAGGTCTTAACTTGTATATATTCTGTCTCTTCATTCGACGAACTTCCTTTGTGGTACAATGGATGTACCACATTTTTGCGTGCACTTCCCATTTTTAAATGTAAATTATTTTTGGGCACACATATGTATAATCTCATAGATAAAGTCTCGCATTTGCCTTATTAAAACCCGTAATCAAAACTTTTGCATCATTCACGATTTTTTTTTTATCGTTGTTTTGAAGACACGACTCCTCATGCCTTCCTTTTGCATTTTCAGGAAAAGAAACCAAACAAACACCGCTAAGCATGGCAGCTCGAATTGTGAACAAAGTGATACACTCACCTTTTCCGGATTTTGACGTTGGAAACAACTGTGCTTCTGAGCTGATAAAGCAACGCTTGAGTGAACTGTCTAACGAAGTCATTATTGTAAGTATCACTCCTATCTATTCATGTCTGCGTTATTATAAAGCCATTGTATAACTAAGAGGGCACAAACGTATCGAACCACTGAATGATGAGAATATAGACTCTAAGAAAATAAAATGTCTATATAGTCCTCCCCAAAGGGCGGAACGCTCTTGAAACCCATTTTCCTTCAGAAAGGGACACATTTTTGTCTTTGAAGGCAAGAGAGCAAAGTTCATCCGTCGTATGCATCTCATTATGGCGGCCCCGAATCGAGCGAATCGAGCTCCGTAAGACTTAACGAAGACGTTACGTCTATTGTCCCGGCGAGAGCAACTGCAAATAAAAGCGCAACACGAGCTTTCCGCGAACTGTATTTATTGGCGAAGACAGCCTTCCACGCAGGAAAAGAAACTTGCGTTTCGAAAGCAGTCACTCAATCTTTTCATCGTCAGCAATGCGATGTATACTCAGTCACCTCATGCATTTTACGTCTTACCTTTGCTATTCCTCCGGCCACAATTTCTTCTTCAGCGCCGTGCGTCACGGAGGAGTGGTAAACCCTTCGCGAAACCAAACGCCGCTGTCAAAAGAGCAAATTCTAAGCAGCCTCTTAACTCATTGTCGCACGGCAACCAGCAAATATTGCGAAGCGTGAAAGATAGTTAAATCGCTCGCCGCCAAATGGCAGGGTCAAGCAGAGTAATTGCAAGAAGCAATTCTAGATGGTGCTAGGTACCGCCCATTTCATGACAACAGCTTGCGCTGCCGCCTTCTGTTCGAGGCGCGAGCGGGTGCTCTACGAACTTTGGTATACCGGGAGCGGTTTGACCCTAAGCTGGTTTCCACGATGTGGCGCGCGTGCAGAGAAGTACCTGAGACAGTTGAACACCTAGTGCTATTTTGTGAGTGCCTGCAGCGAACCCCACCGGTAGATCGCCGGCTTCACTCAGAGTCGACGCTAGCATGTGCACTGGGTTTTAATGCGACGGCTGACTCAGATAGCTTTTATACGGGCCGAGCAGACGAGCCTTCACAAGACAGGCATGCCATTTCTACCATGCATTGCGTGCGAAGGACAAAAGCGCGACTGGAACACTAGTGGAACAAAAATTAGAACAAAAAATAATAGTTTTTTTTTTTCGGCTAGGGCACAAAGACTCTTCGAGCTGGCCCATTATAAAGGGAAAAGCCGCATCATCATCATCATAATCAGCATCATCATCTTCATGGGCTACAAAAATATTTATATTTTTCATGCCACCATTGCACTTAAGGAACCTTTATCACACTCTGATTACATTCATTACGCCTGCCACAAGCATCGGCTAAACACATACAACGAGCACATACAGAGCACATACAAACATCGACGTGAATATACACTACCCCGCTTACCGATTCCGTGCTCTGCACTTCCACCATTTATGATAGTCGTTTTGAGGGTACGGACTTACTGGATCAGCACCTAAGCAATAAATATTATTCCTAGCATGTAGATTTTTTTTCTTAATAATGTCACGCCTCCACAGCTATTTTGAACAGCTCAGGGGATTAATCTCTTTGTAAAATTGGACGCTTATATTCATATTCATAATATTTATTTAGTCATTTATGGGAGCCAGGCAGTCGCAAAAGGCCAATGGCCCATACCAGAGGGTTTGTGACTCCTTGTTCTAAAGCTAAGCTACAAAGCACAAAGCACAACACAATACATACACGCATGCAGGCGAATATGAAAGGAAAAGATGAAACATAATGAGTACAGGCACTGCGAAAAATAACAACAATGAAAAATAAAATAAATGGGGGGGGGGGGGGGGGTGTAAGATACCGCGGAGAAAACGCACAGCAACCTTGCAAAGCTCCTTGGGATTTATGCCAGTTCCTAAGGCAGTAGTGTCATCTTGTTCGGCAGCGTGCGCCACAGTTCAACAGCTCTAATCAGGAAATACTGCTTCATGGATTACTGTTCTGGCAAATAAAGCCTGGAGCCCTCCAACCCGGGTAAGTCTTCGTCGTAAAAAAGTGGAGGGGGACAGTGGTCAGGGCGGGTTATGATGGCGAGTAGCCGAAGCGACGCTATTTTCCGTCAGAGGGTTAAAGTATCCCAACCTACAGCCTTTAAGAGCTGGGCCGTCCGAAGGACGTTGTATCAGGAAACCCAACTGAATGCAGCAAAGAAAAAACGCAGGCACCCGGCAGCAAAACCTGCCTGTCTTGGACGCGGTTTCGCGGTTTTCCTAACGTCGTCAACGTCGTAATGTTGCTCCGCGATCCGGATACGACCATCTTAGCCTAGTATATGTACCGCTGCTGATACTGCTCCCAAACTTCGCGGCTTCTAGCGGCTTCGTTTGCTCGTTTGACAAAATTAGCGGTAAAAACTGGATGTCTTGTGTGCACGTGCCTGTGTGTGTGTGTGTGGGGGGGGGGGGGGGGGGGGGGGCAGAATTACAGGCAGCTTTCGCTGCCGCTGAAACTCAATGAATTCAACAACGCTTATTAAACAACGCGCGTCGTGCTAGAAACGTGAAACCGAAAGAAGGTGAAGTGGGAGGACGGAACTTTCCTCCCGCCTGTCTGGAGAAAAAGAGAAACGTCTCGATCGTCCCTTCTTCTCGTGTCCGCTTGGGGGCACGTCAGTAGAAGGGAAGAAAACGCGCCGTTGCAACTTTTTTCCTCCTTTTTTTCCTAGAGTGCATGAAGCAAAGCTGCTTGACCTCCTCAGGAAAGTGTTTGATGAATATGCTATTAACATCTTCGGTGAAATGTGCCTACTGTGTCAGGGTTCAGTACTACCTAGCCAATACGATATTTTCGAGCTGCGACCTACGTCGCATCGATTACATGTAGCCGGACTTGGAACTAATTCGTTACAAGTAATCGGATCACTTGTCATTGAATACGTTTTTGTAATTAAGTAATTCATCCGGTACTTTTTTTTTAAATGCAATTTGTAATGCAAGCCCATTACTTGCTGAGTATAGGAATTACTGAAATTACTCGTGACAATGCTTCCGTCCCAGAAGAAGGGCGATGCAATGACCTTCGCGCTTCTAGCACAGTAACACAAGACGGGGGTTCGTTAACGAAGAGAGTGCTTGCGAGGGAAAGGAAAATCAATCAGGGAAAGCACGACAGCCCAACCAGAGCCCGTTTCTGGTCTCCTTCGTCCGGTCAGCCTAAGGACCTGAGGTCAGCCAGGTTGGGAGGATTCGACTCTCTACATGGAGGCAACAGGCTTTGGCTTCTTGGAAAACGAACGGACTGCTTCGAGCGCACAAAAGGGCAGAAAACTAATGGCCCATAAATCGGTGGCGTGTGGTTTGTGAGGAGTGAAACCGTGGACACCGTGACCATGGCACATATGTCCGCTTTCTTCATCCCGCCTCCCCCCCCCCCCCCCCCCTGCACCTTATTCACCAAAAAACAATAAGCGTTTTTTTTTTTGTCGTTGTTACACGGAACTGCTTTTTGCTTGTGGAGGTTTCTGTACACACGCCTGTCCCGCAATCACTGAAAGAGGTCTAATGTGACCTCGCCCCTGCTCATCCTTGACAGCGCTGGGAAATCTAAATACTGGCTGGACCATCCAGCTATGTGGCTTCTGTCTGTTGACTTCGCACTAGCGGATGCGTAAGTCACAAACATGAGGGGTGTGATGGCAACAGTTCATTGGAACAGAAAACATGTACTATCAACACTGCTGTCAGTTACAACAGTAGCATTCACCAGAAGGCAATAAGCTGGCTGGGGAGCACAACCAAAACGGCTAGGGACTTCGAAGCTGAGATCATATTCTCGAATATAAGAATGCTGGGGTTCTCGTCAGCGCATTGTGGCTGCGGAAAATCAGACCGACATTTTTGGGAAAGGGAAAAGAGCACGAGGTTTCTGAGAATAAACAGGGGCCGACTTGGACACTGGAGTTGAGACAGCGTAAGGCGGCTGTAAACGGGCGTTAGACATGGACACCTGCTGTTCACTGACAATTGTGTTTTTTATGTGATTTCGCAACGGCAAGGTTATTTCAGCTGAAAGATTGTGCATTCATATTTTGTATAAAGTTTTGGTTCGGATATGTTTGGTGATCAAGAAAGAAAACCAAGTGAGTCATTCGGTCGGATACCAACCTTCTTCAACTAGGAGTCTTTGAAATGTCCCCAAACTCAAGTACCGCATCTTGGTCTCACAGCCAGTCAGTCTTAGTGAGTAAACCAGCCCCTATTTAGGCACCATGCAGCAACCATACGAAATCCACATATTCCAGAATATCGTGTTTTGAAGTTCCCCGATCCCAAACTCGTATTAATTCGAATGGTGTGTTGCATGCACCGCCCAAGTGCATTCATCGCATGTTCATGGGCCATAGTTCTGTCCTGGTTTAATAGCGCAAGACTCGTCTATCTTGAACACCTGTTTAAGTCCTTTAAAACTTATAGATTCGTCCTCCTAGAAGTAATAACATGAAATAATAGGTAGATAGCACTGAATGTGTTTTATTTCTCTTTTACTTTTCATGAGGCCTAAAATTTTCCGCCTCAAGCACGTAGTAGATGTTGCATGTATTCTGCGTGCTTCTTCGGAGTAATGCATATGTAATCGAGAAAAGTAATGAAGAAAGTAATCAGTTACTCTTTTACGGTGACTGATTGGAAACGGTAATTCATTACATTTTGGGCTATGTAATTGCAATTGTATTTAATTACTTTTGTGGAGTAACGGGCGCAAGTCTGCATATTACACCCAAATTTAATGGGAACCTTATACAGCACTGGTTGTGCGAATACAACCCACTGTTTAGAGATTCATTCCTGAAATGACGGTGGCAACCACCTGCTTTGAGTTCCCTTGGTCGTGTCGGTAAATTAAAGGGAACAAGTAGCCTGACACGCCTTAGAACTTGGAGTAAAATGACGATAGGAAAGAAACTTAACTAGGGGTTAGGGGCACACTAAATACAAACCAAATAAATAATTGTATAGGCTACATTGCTAGTCATAACGACCGCTCTCAAATTATGCTGGAAATCGGCGTCCGGATAAACAATCGAATATTTTGTGCCTCAAGGAGATATCCAATTTCCGGTTTTACCCCTCAAGATTTTAAAACATAGCGGTGTCCCTGTAGAAGTATAAACGGAACGACTGGCAACTCGATCAGATACATAATCGCCCATTGCTGCTTCCCAAGCTTGGGCGTCACATTTCTGTTCAATTACTTTTAGCAAACCCCGCCCACCCCCCCCCCCCTCCCCCGCAAAGCGCGATCGAATTAGTATAGAATAGTATAGAATAGTATGGAATAGTATGGAATAGTAATAGTATTGTGAAGCTTCAAGACGACTACTCCTTATGTCAGGCTTTGGTGAGATACACCTTGCTGAAATATGTTTTGATGTGCTCACTTTTTCGTAAGGTTATCCCGCAAAAATGATGCAGCCTAAGTCGCAAAAATATTCTCCCTGTTGCTTTTTTTCGTGACCAGGTCGTTCGAAAGCTGTTGGTATCTCGAAGTAATTTTTGTTTCCCTTTTGTTCTAGGTTGACGCCAATCAATGCTTAACCGCATGTCAGATGTTGGCGAAAATACGCCGATACGCTGTGGGTTATGAACAACACGGTGTGAAACCGGGCTCCAGGGTGTGTGCACATATTGGCAACACAATTGAGAACGTAGCAGCAGCTTTAGGGGTTGTTTTCGCGGGCGGAACCCTAGTTATGGCAAAAACAACCTGTGTGTCAAGTAAGTACTCGCGATATGCCTTCATTAGATTAGAAAATGAAGAGCAGATATATTTTCGAAGTAACAGACAGTCTAATGTAAGATCCCTCTTATAGGGGAATTGCTGTATACGATTGAAGACAGCCACTGCACGTTCCTTATAATCGACGAACAGACCGCACCAAATGTCAAAGAGTTGATAATGCCACCAAGCCTCAAGGTGAGCAAATAAATTTTTTTATCAAACTGTGTAATTGCCTTGGTTTTTACACTATTATCTTCGTTTCATCTACAAAAGCTAAATGTCGTATTAATCCCCCCCCCCCCCAAAAAAAAAAAAAAAAAAAATCGGGCTCAGGGCTTTGAGTTGTTTCAGGAATAAGATTTTCTTTCCTTTCTGGCCTTCAGTTTGTTATAATAATAATAATAATAATAGTGTTTATTTCCACCATAAGATGACAAAGAAGTTGCAATGAATGTATTTTACTTGGAATTAAAAATGATAAGCATTGGTAACTTTGTTTAAGCCAAACGAACAATGAATGCTTTGTTTTGTATTGCGGCATTACGCGCTACCAGGCCCGGGAATGAATTCAAGAAAATAAATCCTTAGTATTATCATACATATCTATACTTCACCGATGTTAAGAAAACACAATCATGGCATTATCGTCAAAGAAACAGTTGATTGCCATTTCTTTAAGTTGAAACAATTCCGCCTCTATTGATTTCAGAAACACGTGCCCATCATTTTGTTCTACGGTATACGAAGTACAATAGCTAATAGTTCATTCTTGTTTTACTTTGTAGGAATTGTTTGCTGTGGGAAGCGTGCCCGGTTTCATTAACTCTCTCAAATTTCAAGAACTTTCCGATGCCTCATTTAAGCCCCACGTGCCCATTGACACGGAGCAAGAGGTTGTTGTGGTACTGTATACGTCAGGATCAACGGGCCTCCCAAAAGGTGTCGAAATATCGCACAGAGCGTATTGCGCCGCTTTTCTTGCATTCAGGTACAGTGATCCAAATGAAAAAAAGAGCAATGTTTAAGTTGTGTAATTTTTGTAGCATCTTTATTGGTACATTTCGGAGTTTGCCTTGTTCAAAGGGCTTCGCGCAATGGGAATATAGAACTTCCAGGATTCGTGCATTTTTCAGGCACGTCTTGCGACGAGTAGTACGTTCTGTCTCACGTGTCTCTAGCCGTTCACACCATGCCCTCTGAGCAAACCATGACACTGAGCAATCTCAGTATTCTCAGCAGCGTCTGCGACGATCTTGCCCTCGTCGTCCGTTAAAGTCTTGCCGTCGTCCCGGGAATAAAAATGGCCAACTCAAAATAGTTTGTTAGTCAGTGTCTAACACACCGCAGTCATATAAACAAAAAAAAATAATTACTCCGACAAAGCGAGTGATGGCGTGGACTACATTTACTCAATACGCAGGAAGGAAACAAGAAAACTGGAAGCGTTAATTAGCACTTCAAATGCTGACAAAGTCAGTCTGTGAGTTCATGCAAGTGAAAAGTCAGTGCTGTGATGGCGGTGCCAGCTGCGCATTCGCACCACTAGGAGAACTAGCACATATATGGTAATTTATCCATACATTGCGAGGATTGAATCGGATATTACATTGTTGGAATTAGACGCTTTGGCTAGGGGGTGCAAGCCGTCACCCGATTCAGATGGTTCAGCCGTATCCATCCATCCATCCATTCATGCATTCAAAACGAGTAAATCATATGCTCCGCTTGCGAGCAGAGTATCGGAACGGTCTCACTTTCTGAGTTCACCTATTGTGGGAGAAGCGAACATCGCTCTTGCAGGACACAGAACAGGCGCGAGATGAGGCGCACTTGTCCGTGCACGGAGTCTTGGGTAAGTTACTTTTAAAAAGCAATTAGTTACAGGTAGTTTGTCAAATATGTATTTAAGCTACAGTTACTTAAAGATCGAAGTAACGCGTTACTGTTACAGTTACTTTGTCATAGCTTCTTAGTTACGTTCAAGATAATTTGGTTCCTTTTTAATATTTAACAATGAAGACATTGATGATAACACAAATTGACTGCGATTTATATTTATTTCGAACTCGCAGAAAAATATAATTTCACTTTTTGAGATATATATTATTACCGTCGCACACTTCATTGAATCAAACTGTTTGCTGCTTCGATACAAGATGGACTAAATAATAAATTATTTAGTTAATGTTGTAAAGTAGCCAGCAATTGCTTTTCCAAGACCATTTCACTTTCCCCTTTCAATGCTGAACAGATCCCTTGCTAAAGATGCGTTCAACAGATGCGATGGACGGAATATTTAGGCGTAAAATCTTTCCTAATGGTAAGAAAGTTGTTCAGGCTGGAGAGTACTTTCTAGGCTTCAGTCTTCCATCGTTCCGTCTGCATGTCTGGCGGTGGAGTCCACAAATGAAAGTCGAAAGTCACCCCAAAATGCTTGCAAAGGTTGGAGGAAGAGGATCTCGCGGCAGCGTATACTCTTTTGCAGTGTTTTAATCGATCAGTGAAGTATCGCCACTATGTTCGACAAAGTCAAAGTGCAGTTCATAGCCGGGCAGCGGTAATACCTGCCTTCTGTCATTCATGACAACCTCTCATTTGAGCGGTAACGGTTAATTACTATCTAACTATTTTCCTTCTTTCTTGTGACGTTCTCTCTCTCTCTTCCTCCTTCTTTTAAGAGCTCTCTTATTCCCCTTTCTCAGCTGACAGGAAAAGTAGATACCGATGAGCAGACGTGTCCATTGCAGTATTAGCGAGGGGAACAGAAAGCTCAACCATTTGGAACTGAATAAAGGGGAAACGACCGTTAGTGTCGAACAAGGTAAAGAAGCGAGTAAAAAATACGAGACATCATCCTGGAACGAGTTCAGGTTTTCTTTAAAATTTCTTCTATGCAACGCGCAGAACAAAAGATTCGACCGTGAATCACGGGCTCACAGCCCCTGGAAATAGAAAAATCGACCAGTAGAAGCATCGTCTGTGAGCACCGGTCAGACAGTGTCTACTGGCGGCGACTCGCTTTTGCACAGAAAGAAATCGTCGCGACTGCTGCGGCACCGACGACAGGGGCTCTCGTTCGGTGTTAGTCAATTCACGGTTAGGTGTGGCAGAAGAGGACACACCTAACTGTCACGCTTGGCAGAAAAGGCGGGTGGTTCGATGAGGCCGAAAAGGGTAAATACGGGGCGAAAGAGAGCCACGCACAAAAATTTTGAAATAAAGCAAATGCTAAATGCGGTATTCTCCGCGACGAAGAAGGAAAAACAGAAGTAGAGGAAGGAAAAAAAATCTTTTATTGACGGAATGTAACGTCGACCCTCTGTGCCGGCACTTTGCTCGGTCGAAAAACGTTTCCAGTTCTTGTTGTATTTTGTCGCGTCTAATGTGGGCCCAACCTCCGCACACGGTCGGAGCAGCTGTAGTGTTCACAAAATAGGGCCATTTGTCCGCGAAAATTATCTGTATCGTTGTAGATACTTTTCGGTTACTTTTTCAAAAAATGTATTTAGGTTATCGTTACAGTTATGTCAAAGATATATATCAAGTTACAGTTAAAAGTTACAAAAAAAAGTAAAGAATTACAGTATCGCGATTCAAGTATCGCGATATTACCCAAGACTGCGTGCAGACGCCGTAAGTGTTCTCCCAGGTCCCTCGAAAGCGCTCACGCACTTCGTCGTCGGCTGTTGTGTCGTCTGCTTGTACACAGCTGCTTTTAAAACGGCGCTCGCGTTATATAGAAACAAAATGCAGCTACGCAGGACTAAGCGGCACGCATGATGTCCGAAGGCTCAATATGCTTCTTGCTCGTCAAACTTTAGTGCAAGGCCTAAAATTTCGCGAACGCGGGGCAAAAAGTATGTCCCATCCAAGCCCTGCACTCTGCAAGGCCGCTTCCCTGGAAGCGCGGTGGTCGAACATGGCGCATGCGACCCCTTCTCCGCCAATGAGGAGTTGACGGCGAAAGGAAAAGGGAGGCGATGTTCTCGCTAGCAATTTAGTTACTCTATATGGAGAGACTGAGCCGACTGAGCTACCAACCTTTCAAATATGGCGGCGTTCATGAATTGGTAGGTGCGAGTATCCCGTACTTACTTTATCCTCAATAATAACACGTCCTTTACTAAACAGGTTTAGTAAAGCTAGAGCAAGATCTAGTACGTTGTAGCGACAAAGGTACTCAGATTTTGTTTTTGCATGTCCTGGAACTTTCAAGAGTGTAATCAGGGGCAGCCCTACATCATCAAGGGCTGTGAGCAAACTTCGGCCGTGGAGCCCCCTCCTCCCCCTCCCCCTTTTATATACGCCCATATCTAATAGGCACGACATCATATTGTTAGTAAGCAAGTTTTGGACCAAGATGAGCGTTTTGTCTGACGTTAAACCCATACCAAGAACGAACGGCGATCGAGCATATTGCGTCGTGTCGAGCGTCGTGTTCATATAAATCAACAAGCTAAAACAAATTCAAAAATGGGGACGAAGCGCTTTCCTTTTGATGGCTCCTCGGGCTACCGCCCAGGCCACCCACCGCTAGGGCCGGACCTGGGTGAAAATGCATAGAGTACTCCTCTAAGAAATGGCCCGTCTGCAGTGAGGAAGGAGATACTAAATGTTTAAATTGTGATTTTTATGGAGCATGAGTTCACAATCATTCTTGTATTTATGTATATTTATATTTCCGCATTTCAGGTCTACTGGCATTTGCACTAAAGAAGACGTGTTCCTTGCATGGAATCCCCTCACTCCCGTTTCCGGGTTTGCAATAGGCATGTTTTGTATGTTTGTAGGCGCGAAGATTGTGATTACCGATGCCTCAATTTCATGCAAAGATTTTCTAGACACACTTAGGACCTTTCAGGTGAGGAATGTTGGGCGGAATCACGAATAAGGATTATCTCGTAGAACATTTTACCCACCTGAGGCCGTGTGCATTGGCCATAGGGATACAAAGAGCGATTGATAAAGAGGTTAAATTTTTAAATAAATCGAATATTCGTACAACATGAATGCTAAATTTTAATCCTTAGTTAATTTTCTTTACAATATTAAGCTATGTAAGCGATCCTCGAAATATGTTCTTATTAATTTTTTTTTCTGCGGTAAAAAGAAACATTCTAAATACTACGATCTCATCTCTCGAGATTAACCAGTCAGAATAAGTGCACCATGATTATGAGAAAGTACAGGAAGTTTCACAGAGATGACAGTGTTTTTCGACCAGGGTAAATAAACTATACATTACCAAAAGCTCAAACTTCGTGAGACTGGGACGCTAGCGGTTGGGATATAAGTTATAACGCGAAAGTTTGAGAAGATTACGTCACCTGGATCAAAAGATAATTGAGCAAAACGAAACTTTTCCACGAGCCGACGTCCAGCCCGTACCCCGGGAAAACTCACTCATGAGTGCACTCACTCACCTCACTCAATCTCACCGACCAGGCTTGAGGTGAGGGTGAGTGAGTTCGTAAGCCTCGATAAGTTTTGAGTGATGGGTGTGAGTTCGGTGAGTTCATGAAGTCGGTGAGTTCATGAAGTCGGTGAGTTCATGAAGTCGGTGAGTTCATGAAGTCGGTGAGTTCATGAAGTCGGTGAGTTCATGAGTTCGGTGAGTTCATGAGTTATGTGAGTTTCGTGAGTTCGGTGAGTTTTGAGTTCGGTGAGTTCATGAGTTCGGCGATTTCATTAGCTCGGTGAGTTTCGTGAGTTCCGTGAAGGCCATGAGTTTATGAAATCGGTGAGTTCATTAACTCGGTAAGGTCATGAGTACGGTGAATGATGTAAGTTTCTGAGTTCGATTGGTTCATGAGTTCGGTGAGGGGCGTGAGTTTATGAGTTCGGCGAGGAGCGTGAGTTCATGAGGTCGGTGAGTTTGAGTTTGGCGAGGCATGAGGTCCCTAAGGGGACATAGGTTCCATGAGGGTTTGCAGGGCGACGTCGGGGAAGGGCAGGTAGCGTGACTGCTCCGTGTATTTGCTGGAAAGTTGAGCAGACGTTGGCTTCGCAATGCGTTGTTAGCTCGTACGGCTGGTTCTATACGAGTGATGGCAAGGGGGGATAGGGCGCCGACGGATTTATCTTAGCTCCTCGGCTCCGGCTTGCTTCGCGGCAGCTTGGTGTGGTTTTTTGCCGCTTGTCGCTACAGGGCTATCCAGCTCGCCTCGATTTTCGTCATGCAAACTGTGAGGCACTGATATACGCGCGGCGTTTTCTTGTATCGTGAAGGAAGACAACGGGTGCTACGCCGGTACGCCTGAAGGCACAAGGTGCTGTTTTGAGTGCGCTTGTCTTATGCTTGGTCGCTAATCATGAAGTCAATATCAAAATGAAAGCCTGCTGGGAACTGTCACAATTTGCTTGCATTCTTGTTTGTTTAATTCGTAACCTAGAGTTCTGTAAAAAAATACACGCATGCACATCTTCGTGCTTGAATACACCCAAAACGCCAGACTTGTTCATTATTGGTTTAGAAGGACATTTATTCCGTATCAAATTTATTAGATTCTTGATTGTCATGATATAATTGCAGACGATAAGTTTCTATACTGCATTAAAAATATAAAAATAAATATTTTTACTTTCGCCGAATATCAGTGATGCCACATTCTTGACAGTTGGGAGATTCCAACGATCGTTTGCTCAATGATCGTTTTTTGACGTTTAACTATCGTTTAACGTAAAAGCAAAAGTGTCAGCAAGAAAAATTATATTGTTTTATTTCTTGCTGATAAGATTAGTTTTCTTCTCTTTACTGAATTATATGCAACATGCGCCCACAGTCTCATTTCCTGTTTTGAGAATATTAGGCTTAAGCGAGCGTCGACTCAAAGATTTTTTTTTCTTTTTCAATGGTCTTTGGATATAGGTAACACCATGTTCTCAAACTTGCGTGTTATACCTTCAAACAGCTAGCGTCGCATACTCACGGAGTTCCAGATTTCTGCTATCCAGAGTTAATTTTCCCGTGCCAACCCCCCCCCCCCCCCCAAAAAAAAAAAAAAAAAAAAAAAAAAACGGTTCTCTTTTTTCGGGAACTCCCCGTACTTATGGCACAACCGTTCGCGCGGCTCATGTTAGCTTTCTTGATAATAAATTTACAGGGATTTATATACTGTAGTATTATATAATATATTATAATTATATAATAAAATGTAATACTATATTATATACTGTGAGACTGTCTGATTCATTCATGCTATTGTCTCTGGAATTTCAACACTTAACTAGTAGAAAAAGAAGCAAGAAGCAGCCGTAACGTTACTAAAACATTCAGTTGCTAAACTCAGCCTTGAAACATGGACCGCTGGCGTTCACCGAAACCAAACTATATACGATAATTGCGCCACCCTTTAGCGACGACTCAAAACATGAAAGTTGCTCTATATAGCTATACTGCAGGATGGTCCTGCGAGATGGCGCAATCGGCCCTTCCGCAACTCGACGGAACAAACACGTGCAGCTGTGCCGTTCCCGGAGTGGCCGCTGAGGGAGAAATGGCGGCGTTGCGATCGTGTTCAGTTCTCGAGTGCAGAACGAATCCATTTTTTTCAAAGCAGGCTCCTATAGCAGTTCCCAACTGAGTATTCTATCAACGTAACCATGTTGTTGAGCAGCCGGTGCCAAGTTGAGCGGCCGGTTGTGCAGCCGGTGCCGGCCCCGTTCAGTGATGACGGTTGACTAGGGCCTCACAGGGACAGAACGTTTCCGGGGTTGACGTCACGTTTGGCTCACTTTTTTAAGGCTCATGACATATCTGTCTAACGGCGGTCCGGGCAACCAATTCGTCTTCGGATTGCTTAGTCTAGCCTAGCCAGATAATCTAACCTAACATAACTTAATCTAGCTAGACGTAACCTTACCTAACTTGACAATACATTAGCATCTTCGCTAACCGTAATACGACCAATGAAAGAGGCTTTCACCCCCTGTCAAGACACTGTTGATTTACGTAGCGCTATTTCATTAGTGCTTGATTTTCCTAGCTACAAAAAAAAAAAAAAATTGCCACAGAACTGCGGCACGCCATTATGTTTCTAGGGCCTCGAATGTATATACTATACTGTACACGTCGTAAATATATATTTCTGTTAAATACTGCACACTTGTTTTATCCCGCAGGTATCACTCTTTGTTGCAATCGCCGGCCGGATACAGGACATTGTTAATGAAGTAAAAAAAAATAAGGAGGACGTATCTCGTGTAAAACAAATTATTGTGGGTGGAGCAGTGATCCCGAAATCACTCTCAATGGATATTCATGAGATCTTCGACGTGAAATCACTCATCAATAGCTACGGCTTGACTGAAACATTTGCTTTTCTGAGCATCTCGCGCCGCGGAGAAATTACCTTCGACAATAATGGGTTTCCCATTGCCGGGAGTAAAGTCCAGGTATGCCTGAAATTCCCCAAACGGTGTACGTTTTTCTTTTACTTTCCAATTAATCAAATGTCGTATTGCCACAGGGTGTCTTTTTGTTTACTAGAATATAGTGGCAAGCAATTTACTTATACCGATGAAAGTATATAAGTAATGACAAAACAAAATGGTGTTATTTACTGATCTTTGTCTATATTGAACAATCCATGAGTCATTTCACGTATGTATGCATATGATGATTGGCGATTTGAGAATCAGAAGTAATAGGTCTATGAACTTACGGACTGGAGGTCTAACACTGTAACATAGGTGCGCCATTATTAATCTATAGGCCAATAAGAATATCGCTATAAACAGCTTTTAAGTAAATTTCACTCACTTCCCTTTTTTATGGAGTAAAATTGAGTGAAAGGTTAAAGGCCTCTAAAAAATAAACCTTCTTATAACGAGAAAACCACTTAAATTCAATATGTAACCATTCGATAAGAAGCTTTCCTCAAACCACCTGACGGAACATTATCATGCTTTCAACACAGAAAAAAGAAAATTGAGAAAGGGGAAAAGGGAGGGCATACATTTGACAATGCTTCACAGCTGGTCTAATAAAACATTAGGCCATAACTACTGAACGATTGTGTGCATCTTTATTTCTCTTTTACCGTCTGCACCTGTTGTTTGGTTTAAGGCAGAATTAAATACGTTATATTCACTTTCGCATGATTAAGCGCGTTCGTGTTTATTGCGCTACTTTGTTTCTGCGTTAGTGCTATCCCTATTGAAAAAAACAGCACAACCTGGTCCCAGCATCCCAACTTCATGTTGGGTTATGGCACCAGCTTGCCGTGCTGGTCCCAGCACAAGGTGGTCCCAGCACAAGCTGGTCCCAGCATCCCAGCTTCATGCTGGGTTATTGCTCCACCATGCCCAGCTTGCCGTGCTGGTCGAGCCGGTTGGATGCTGGGTCGTGCTGGGTGAAAGCTGGACAAATGTTGGGCCATGCTGGGTGAACTGCCCATGCTGGTTAGGCTGGTTTACTTCCCTACCATTTTAACCAGTTTAAATTAATACACAGGATAAACAAGCCAAACGCTTCAGAAAAGCCAGCTCGGCATCTAATTTATTATTTTCGTATTCGCGGTCTGCTCACATGACCTCAGATGCTACACATCCACTGCGCTGACACAGTACTAACCGGCAAACAGATAGTAGTTTTCGGTGCAAAACAAACAATGCTATTAAAACTACATTGCTTATCTCTCAACACGAAAAATACTAGACACGCCAAAAACAAGCAATAACAATAAAAAATACTACACGGATGAGAGAAGCGAACCTGGGTCCCGCCCGTAATGGGGACGAAGCGTCCTCTTGCGTAGTCGGCAGAGGCCAGGAAATCCGAGTGGCTGGGATGGCATTGGCGATACTCCTCGGCACCATCGTCATTCACGAGCACACAGATGTTCTAAGGCACGAAACGACGCCTCAGTCGGGGCATCCGACTTCTTACCGCGCTGAACGGACTGCCGCTCGACCAAATTGGCGTCGCGGAGGCCTGCGGCGCGACGGCCGGCGCTGCTGTTTGCCGACCCAAACCAGTTTTCGGCTTCAACGGCGCGACGTACGGCGCCGCAGAGTCAACCGCTCCGTGCGCGGTTCAGTGCTCGGCGCCGCACGCCGTAGAAGAGAGGAGCCAATGGGAGGTGGCGTAGATAGTGACGTCGCGATGCCATGGCAACGCTCAAGCCGGTCTTCGGCGCGTCTTTCACATTCTGAAGGACGTGATTAGTGTCGTCTGCTCTCCCTATTTCCCCCCCGATGCCTTCCCCAACGGAGCGGTTCCTTGAACTGTGCGACTGTTTCCCTTTTTATATGACAAGACGCAGCCAGACTACTAGATAAGGACGCTACGAACAACCGCTGGGAAATTATAGGAGAGGAGTTCGGAATAACAAGCGAGTTTCTCCGTGGCACTTGTTTCACATCGTCTGTGTTGTGACGGATGTCGTGTTGATTTGGTGACATTTTCGAAAGTAGCCTTCATCTCTGGCGCGCCGCCGGGGCAGCAAAGCCCCGGCGGCGCGCCAGACCTGTCCTGTCCTTCGGTGTTTCGGTAGACCCAACAAGCTCGCAGTGTGCCTGAAGTGCCCGGTTGTCTACCAAAAACGAGAGGACAAAGAACAGGACGTGGAGTCGTCCCCACCCCACTCGACCTTGGCGCGCCCGCTCCCGGCAATGCCAGTTCGACAAGCTCTCGCCGACCTTGGCGTGCGCGCTCCCAGCAAGACCAGCTTGAACCAGCTTGGGCCAGATTCAGAACCAGCTTGAACCAGCATGACCAGCTTGAACCAGCTCAAGTACCAGCTTGCTCGTCTGCAGTGCCAGCTCGAACCAGCTTGAACCAGCTTGCCAAGCTTGAACCAGCTTCAGTGCCAGCTCGAAACAGCTTGCCCAGCTGCAGTGCCAGCTCGAACCAGCTTAAACCAGCTTGATTATTACCTAGACCAGCTCGAACCAGCTCGAACCAGCTTAAAAACCAGCTAAACCAGCTTGATATCCTTGCTGGTTTTTCCAATAGGGATGCCACTTATAATAGCTTTAATATTGACAAAACAGCCTGAGTGTCACTACCTTGATCTACAGGTGTAAAAAATAAAGTAGTATCTCACTCTTAGCTTAGTCTTGATAGTGAGAAAACAATTTTTATACAATCTAAATGGACGCGCAAATGAAAAAATATAAACATGTAGGGTCTTATAATTCATTATTCCGAATATCACGAAAACTCCACAATTTTCAGAAACGGTGGTTGCAGCTGTGTCTCTTAGTGAACACTATTTCGAAAAGCTCAAACGGTGATTTGAAATGATGCCTCAGGTTATAGATCTGACCAGCGGAGAGCCTGTCGACGCATATCAGACTGGCGAAATTGTGGTTCAGAGCCGAAGTGCCATGAAAAGCTACTTTGGGCGTCCAGAAGCTACCGCCGAAGCTTTGAGCAGTGATGGCTGGTGGCGTACAGGTAAAGAGTTAATATAATTCTCATTTTGTGTTAAAAACAGCAAGCATTAAGGCACTGTAGTCAACATTCAGATATCTCTTCTGTGCCTGATTAGTTCGGTGGCAATGTGTGCCCCTTTTCATATTCACGGGCCTATATTTTGTACATTAACCCATTATCAGACACAAGACATGTTTTCCTGTGAAGCATGTGGATATATTATGCTACGAAGATGAATAATGGAACCATTCCCAAAGCCCAGCAATATGGAGTATATGAAACAGTATAATCAAATAAAAATAATTAAATTAGGCTTTGTGAATGTTTGTAACGCAGGTTTTGAGGTTCGACTATACTATTTCAACACTGAAGAAAGACAATTTAACCTTCGCCGCGCATGACTGCTACTCTAGATTCTTCAAAATGCACAACGCAAAAATCAATAAACAATCTCACAAGTATTAGACTAATTGTTTTCACTACAGGCAACGTCGGTTTCAAAACAGGATGACATGCTGTCGTTTATATACAAACACAGTACATATTATTCCTGTGTGTCGTAGTGGGAACTTTCGCTTAACGGATCTTTGAGCTTCTGCTTAGGTGCAGATATGAGTTTTCTTTTAAGCAGTGCTGTAAAATTTTTTTTTTGCGCACGCTTAATGATTTGACTGGTCGCCGATATATTCAAACGCTTGAACAGCTGTCCCTAATATATATATACAATTATCATTGCGATCAGAATATGACAAAATTGTTTATATGTGTCACTGCTAGAAATTGGTAACATGTATGTGTTTAATATGAAGCGTGTAATCCTAAAATATCCTGCCTTGAAACTATCATAAGCTCACGAATGATATCTCGTAAAATTTCGATAACAAGTACTTTAAACTGAAAGTTGAAAAGTTATACAGGACTAAATAAACATCTATAGCGAAACACAGACATTGTTTATGACACGCAACCAATTCAAAACCGCGGATGTACTCTTGCGTGAATGCGGCCAGTCGTGGAAACTTCAAGAGTGCATTTATACAATTTTGAAGCCGAAAAATTTGCGACTGTCTAACTTGTTATAAATTAATATACCCCCGCAAATGGATGGCATCCATTTGGATTATTTCTCAAAAGACAATCGAAAACACTAGAATAATTGAGCTTCAAAAGAAACTAACATGTACAGTATAAATCTCAATTTTTTTTTCAGGAGATTTAGGCTACTACGACCTTAAAGGACAAATTCATATTGTCGACAGATTGAAACAAATGATAAAATGCATGGGAAACGTGGTCACCCCCGCTGAGCTGGAAAATATTTTGATGAGTCACGAGGATGTGGCAGAAGCTGTAGTTGTAGGTGTTTCAAGTTTCAAGTACGGCGAGGCGCCAGCAGCTTGCGTGGTTGTCGAAGACGGCTGCGAGAGAAACCTCGAAAGCCTGGCAGAAGAATTAAAGGCGCTCATTGCAGGTATATACTATGCTCGCCATATGAAAACTGTGTCCTCGGGTCTTTGCGTGAGCGAGCCTTAAACTGGTGCAGGTTAGAGTTTATCCGTTTTTCTATTTTCTCGTACAAACATTGTTTAGTAAAAATGCGACCTGAGGAATCAAATTATTCACAAGTAATGATGTCTATGAACTTAATAAGCATGAAAAACATGAAAGAATAATCAATAATCAAAATAACCTCTTTTAAGCACTTGTATGCAAAAGAAGCCCTTTTTTGTAGGAAAAAAAAAAACGCTGTTACCCCAGCATTCGTCTCTTTTAAAAGTCTGTACCTTTCGCGACCACAGATACTTTACAATGTTGCGTTATTGTGCTTATGAAATACATATTCTAAACGACGGAGTACATTAGGGATAGGCAGCAACTCTTGTTTTTCGTCATAATTGCAAGAATTTAAGGTGTTGTGTTAAACAGCCACTACAAAACAATTTAGGGGCCAAGATTATCTTGAATATTTGATTTGGATTGTTGTAATAAGGCAGAAACTCCAGATAACTTAATCCATAACATACACAAAGCAAGACAGTTGTAAATTTGTTCGTGTTGGTGCCGTATATTTTTGCGCTGTTGAAAATATTCAATAATTCAAAATTCAAACTTTTTTGCTGTCTTTTATAAGTAAACATATCTAAGTGTAGTGGTGAGTTTACGGCGGATTTGCTTAGTGTATACTTGTTTGTTTTATTTTGTTTTCTGTTGCGCAGGTCAAGCAGCGGCGTTCAAGCAACTGTACGGCGGAGTTTTTTTTATGAAATGTCTTCCCAAGTGCATTAACGGAAAGATCATGAGGCAAGACATTAAGAAGAAGATATCTAATATCAAGAAAGAGATGCAAAACTAGTGGATCTTGTGAGATTTACGAGTCTTATGTAAACCAGTAAGATTCGTGAACGGAAGGTGGTTAGGAAATACTTTACAAGGAATACAGTTTTTGCTTTGTTGCGAAGCCCCACATGATTAAAGTGGAGTCAATAAAAAATTGTCCACGACGAATGAAACGTATTTATAGAAAAGGTAATTATAGCCTCGATGTGTTCAATGCTACTCGGAACATTACAATCATGAGGAATAATACGTTTTCAAGATGTGGGCATTCATTAAAGGGACCATGAGATGATTTTAAAATCGAATTTCATCCACCGCACGTCGTAAAAGGTGTGAAAAGAAACACAAAAACACAAAAATAGGGAGCCAAAAAAATTATTTGCTATAGAACTTTTAAAAGAAAACTGGACTTTTTTGCGCCTTCTTTTCTTCGCCTTTTCACTACGATGCATCCGCGGAAACGGGGCACGTCAGCCGAATCCACGTCGCCTATTGGGTAAGAGCCTACCTCACCAGCACCGCGATCGTAAACAATAAATAGCCGGCGAATGTTTCCTAAAAGTTTTGTTAAACAATATTCAGATCCACATTTTGTAGCATAATCAGAGATGTGTGGCGAAAATTGCCAAATTTGATAATGCTGAGAGTCAAGCGCCATCTATCGTGTGGTAAACGAAGCAACTACTGCGCGTGGGCAGTAGGGCAGGACCGAGTTCAGTTGCTTGGGTCGCGACGGCCGTCGAACGTTTTTTTCATGGAGAATAGAAGGGTAGGAGGGGGCATGACGTCGGCCGCGTAGCCTCCACAAGCCATGCTTCCTTGACGCCTCGCCTCTTTCTCATTTTCCTCCTTACTCTCCTCACTTACCATGCCAACGTGACCACATCACGTGACCGTAGCTAGACTTCGTCTTGCTGTGGGGTACTAAAATACACCACAGTCTAGACTTCGACCTGATAAAACCTACCGGACGGAGCGCGCGCGCAAGCCTGCAAGGAGTCCTTCTAGAATCAACCATCCATCTCACACGTGACATGTCACGCGCACCAATCGCCAGAGAGATCTGCAGTCACGCTGGGCACAAAATCGTTTAAACTTTTTATGACTAGGCTTCACCAATATTGCAACGTGCCTCCTCCTAGTACTTCTAACCTCCTTGGTTTTTTCCTTTGATTCCCTTCCTCTCAAAACTCTGACTGACTGAACGTTTATTTTTCTACTGTTCTTCTCGCGCGTGCCGACTTCAAGCAGCAAGAAAAAAAATACCTAAAACAGACCACGACGAACAAGAACCCTGGCTACGAATCCACCGACTCCGACGAAGCGAGCTGCTCAGAATATAGGCGTAGCAGGCACTCCGACTCGGCGCAGCGTTGCTTCGTCGCAAGACCGTCTGCCTACGACCGGCTGGCGTGCTGAATGGAGTATGCCCGCGCTACCCTTGTGGACCCTTCCCGCATTATAGTTTGATCGCTGCCCTCAATTTTAGATTAAGAGGTGAGGTCAATCTCTTCCCCTGGCTTTCCGAGGCAGTGTTGACGAACACTCGTCGAAAAGGGACTTTTGTTGATTCTATCTTCTTGTTTTGTGTGATATAGAGCTGAAATAAACGCCGTATGGATTACCTTCGTAACACGGTATGTACACTTTGTTATTGGTATGCCATTTTTATTCTGACAGACTGCACGTCACTGTCGAGCTATAACAGTTCGTGGGAGGTATACGTGCAATGCCGGTCCAACCTTTTTTTGACGAGTATCGCGTCAGTATCGAGTTGCAATCGTAAAAGATCGGTCCCGAAGCGCTTACCAACACCGCAAATACAGCACTTCCATCAAACGCGCGCGTCCGCTCCGAGTGTGAACAGGTATTTACGTGGCTCTTGCTGACACTCGTAGTTCAAACGTATCTTTTTTAACGTCGGCTCGCTCCTGCATCTCCGAGGCCGCGAAAAACGCCGCGGCAATTTGTTTCCATCTACGTCGCTTTGCAAACGACTGACACGGGCCGCCTTTTACCAACAATGACAGTTGGGTTGACTTCTGGAGTCTTCACCGGAAGACTCGCTGCACTTCCCAACAGGCATACCGGCGTATGGGACTAGCCCCATGCTGTCGCTGTAGCGCAACATATCTGGTTGAATTTCGCTCAGCTGCGATGCGGCGATGAGAGGCGCCGATTCAGAAAATACGTCGGTGACATCAGCGCAGTGAAACCTACCGGCGCACCCCAACTCGTCGCCGCTAACGCTCCCATTCTCCTACTGCCGAGAGAACTTCCGGTTCCGGAAACAGCGTACGTCACGGCTTGTTTTGCGCTTTTGCGGTCAGTTGGAGAGAAAGAAAAGTCGATATTTCAATAATTTTTTGTGCAGAAGTTAATAAACCGAGACGAAAACGGAGGCCTGTTCGGCATTCAGTGAACATTGACGGTTTAATGTAAAAGTTATCTGGAAAAAGTAAAAAGGTCATTTTATGGTCCCTTTAAACTTTATCCCAAAGTAGTCCCCAAAGAAAATATATGTGTCGGGCCTAGGAATACGGAAATATAAGTTCCCGAGCTTTTGAGTAGCGCTGTTAATATTAAAGTATTTTTTGAAGGGAATGTTACAATGTCCTTGACTGTTCGACTGAAATTAATTTTTTACTGAGTTTTGTTGAGAACATCCGAGAATATGCGGAATGAACGGATGCCCCAGAATGATAGGGATGTGAGTGTTGTTATTGTATTAAGAAATAGTCTAAAAATAAAAATCACAGATGGAGATATTAAAAAAAAAACAAGATAGCCACGTAAATCACAAAACTATAAATACTTGGAACTTTAATACATCAATACAATAAAAAAATCCTATACACAAATTGCATCGAAGCAGTTTGTTTTTATGTGTACTTGAATACGAACCACACACGGATTCCAACAATAAATTAAATTACTTCCTAGATTTATAGAGCAAAATATACTGGTCCACTTTTAACTTGCTAGATTTAATCATAAATGGTGACTGTTTTTGTTATAGAGGCATGTGCGAACGCCTCAATATTTTGACAAAATGTAAATGTACGGTCTGGAAAAAAATTAAGCTTGCAGTTTGGAGAATTTAGAACGGTATCACTGACAGTGAAAACTGAGAGAGCTTATTAAAGATAGTAATTATAAAATCGCTGTATTTCCGATGACTCGAAAATCTTGAAATAACACATGCCAATACTCTCGTGCCCTTCACAAGTGCTCAAATGCAAAGAAAGGTTTTTAGAATATTTTTAGCCTACTGTGTGATCATATATAAATACGGTTTGTTCGCGTAATGGAGAACTCAGGACATCTTGAATAATTTTTGGGCTTGCTTGCATTTGGGATTACGTAACAGTAGGGTTACTTCTGCTGTGTCCCTTGTGCGCCTAGTTCTTTGATGGTATAAATTACAAAATAGCTTGCACTAATATATACACATTGAGCGTTAAGGGTCAATTTTTGTATGGTTCTCAATGGGTACCTTTCAGTCCAATCCTATAGACCGTTCCATTAGGGTCATAGCAGAGAGGGTACTAGAGAAAAAAATGCCCTCTCCCTCTCACCCCGATTATCATCTTCTCCGCCCAGTGGGCTGTACCTAGCATCCGACTGGCGTGCAAACTCTGTTTAAAATCCCGTCATTTTGGAAATTTCAAGCGCAGATGCGCAGGTTTTAGTATGCCAGTTATGTGGTAATACTATGCTGCATAAAAGGACTAACAGGGTCCAATTGCGCTGTCACCTGCGTGGAAATAAAAACAAATAGGGAAAACTGTGTCAGATTGGCCGGTTTCATCCGGCCAAAAATAAATCCGCTTGCTGTACCTTTTTTACCATACAAAGTTCGTGCTGGTGTAGGCCTTCAGCGACCATCAGTGGAAGTTTGAAACAATAAATAAAAACGTGCTCTCTTGCCGCAATACACGCAGTAGTTGAGTGTAGGGGCTGACTCAACTACTCTAAGTAACGGAAGAAAGATATGCTAGTTAGTTGGCCATTTACCGAAATAGAACAACAGAGAGCTATAGGCTGATTTTGGAGTAGCCATAACTATTCGAAGACGAACCACTTCACAATGGCAGCCACGTGTGAGAGTTCGATGTTCCGTACAGCCCGCCGGTACAGCCCGCCGGTACAGCCCGCCGGTACAGCCCGCCGGTACAGCCCGCCGGTACAGCCCGCCGGTACTGCCCAAACATGGAGAATGGCAGCCTCCCGGTTGGTCGTCTGCTAGCGGAGTCGAGCGTGTGCCCTCTCTCTCGTTTTACCCCGCCGAACCCGCTGAATTTCCCGGATGTATGGAGAGGGCGCTGCTGTCGAACAAAACGGTGCCGCCCAGAGAGCGTAAATGGAATGGTCTATAGTTTGTGGGGTCGCTTCTGGTGCCCGTGGTTACCACCCCTCGCCCAGCACTTTTTTCACGTGCTGGACTATACACTCCGTGCGACGCGACCGGCGCGCCGCCACGCGGCCGTTACCAAAGGTAGTCAGTGAGAGCCCCAGCGAAACGAAACCACGCCGCGTACATTGGTACGCGTTGAAGTCGGAGTGGTGCGGTTGCGCTGGGTTGACAGCATGAACTGCTACGTCGTTCAGTGCTCCAATAGTTATGCGTCGTATCTCGTAGGGACGAAGTTTTACAGTTTTTCACCGCGCCGATGTTTTGCGGGACAGCGACAACGATGGACCCGTACCGTACGACGCGAGAAATTTGGTCTCCCGATCATGTCTGCCACTGTATCGGCACGGCTGACATTTTTTACAGTGCCGCTTTGCGCTCTGCGTTTTTTTTTTTTCGTACCATTAACGCCTACAGATCTCAGCTCGAACTGAAATGCCATCCCACAGTCGCGGGTATGCCGTGCGAATTTCGTTGAAGGAATGCCTTCCAGGGAAGTTTTGTCCCCATCGTACGTGTCGCTGATATTTCCGAAACAGTATGGCACGCAGTCTGTACTTCATGAAGAAAGATTCGGACGGTACAAAAAGTGACAAATATGA